GCCTCCCTAGAAAAATATTTACAAGGTTTTTTAATTATAAAATTCATTTTCTAGGCCAGGATGCTGGTCCTCTCATCCCAGCACCGGGAAGCAGAGGGAGGGATGCACACAGGGATCCACGGGGGGATGGATGGAGAGAACGCTGGGCTGTGAGCGCTCTTCTAGTCCACGGGATCTTAACTGTAGTTTATATTCCAGTGGTTATTAAAAATAAAGGGGGAGAGTAGGGGGGAAGCTAAGAGCAGAGCAAGCTGTTCATTTGGAGCCTTTCCCTGGGGTTTAATAAAGCCCCACTCACTGCTGTAGTATCATTTTTATGCTATCATAAAGCTGGACCATTTAGCAGGTTTGTGTTACTTCAGCAGTTAGCGCTGCATGAGAAGCGATTCCTGAAGAGGGGAGAGAGGGAGAAAAAATATTAGAAGATGAAAACCTCCAAAAGGAGAGAGAAAAATGAGGTGGGAAGGAGGAAAGGGGATTCCTCCCGGCCACGCCGCTGGCAGCGCTGCAGTGCATCAGGGCAGCTCAGGGGGATGCCAGTGGGCTCCCCCATCCCTGTGAGAAGCCAGGGACAGGCAAGAAACACCCGCTCCAGAGCTGGGGTGCTGAAGGGTCGGGGACCTCAGCCCAGCATCCGGGGGGACCCTGCCTGTGCTGTAGGAAAGGGTCAGAGGGGTCCCCTCACACGAGGGGATCCCAGGCGTGTTGCACCTGTGGGGACCAGAGAGCCAGGGCGGCTTATCCAGGAGCTGTTGAGAACGATGGGGGTCCTGGAGGTGAAGGAGCCGCAGCTCCTCCCGGCCCTGGGTGGTCCCCAGGATGACCGGACACTCCCAGCCCCTCTGCTCCCAGCCCTGGGCAGCTCTCTGGGGAGCATCAGGCTCTCCGTGCCGCTGGAAAAATCTCCATATATGGAGAAGATGGGATACGTGACTGAGCTGAGCCGAGCTGAGCCAAACCACCCCAACGGGAGCCCCCACCGGGCAGCCCCCACTCAGCCGAGGTCCCGGGGCCGTGCCCCCGCAGAGCCCTCTGAGCCGGGGGGCACCCCCAGGGCTAATCCCAGCACAAACAGGAGCTGTGCACCCCCAGAGACCGGTCACCCCCTCCCCCCTGTGAGGCCCCTCTTCATCCCTGTGCCACCCACATGGCAGCACCCCTGCCCTCACTGGCGCCCTGACTGCCTTCCATGAGGGGAAAGTCGTCCCCATCAGTCCAGGTGCTGGGTTGGAGCCTCTCCAGCTGCACTGGGCAACGCTCCAGAGGCACTGTCCCCATCCAAGAGGGCAAGGACCAGGGCTGGGGCAGGGGGTGGCACCAGTGACAGAGCCAGAGAGCCAGGAGCTGCTCCCCTGGAGGATGCCCTTGGTGTGCCCAGCCAGGCTCTGCCTCCGTGGCCACAGCTCAGGGGTCTCCACGTGCAGCAGGGAGGGGAAGCACCCTGGTCCCCAAACCCCCCAGATCCTTGAGCAGCAATGGGCACTTGGGCCACACTCTCACCCAAACACCATTTCCACACCTTTTTCTCCCTAATTCATTTCCATCATGCCCTGCAAGAAGACAGTGGCACTCGGTGGGGGGGGTCTCTGCATGGCAGCCCCCAGCCCTGAGCACACAGCACTCCCGTGGGCCCCCAGCCTCTGGCAGCCCCGGCCCCCCGTGCCGCCGCTCAGCCGACCCGGCAAGAGAAAGGAGGAGGAGGAGGAGGGAGGGCTAGGAAATTAAGGTTTTCAGTGCTGTCAGAGCCGCATCAAACAGGCATCCACCAGCTGATGGCTTGATTGTTATATTTTGGATGTCAAACCGGAGCAAGCAGAACCCTTTAAAATGCATCAGCGCCGCTGCCTTTCTGACGGAGGGTGTTGGCTTCCCATTAACGAGAGGGAAGCGTGAGCTGGAGCAGAAAACTTCAAGCGCTTTGGAATTGATAAAATAACAACTCCCTAATTAAGCAGAACTGTCAGTCAGCAGGCACCCGCTGCCCTGCATCGGGAAGCAGCAGCAGCAGCTCCCGGTGCACGAGCCTGACACTCCGGCTCAGCCCCTGCAGCACGGGGGGCAGGGGGGATGCACATCCCGGGGGACAGCAGCCAGAGCACCCTCCCATGCTCCCAATCACACCCAGTTGGGTCCTGGTCCCGACACTGGGCACAGCCGAGGGGTTTGGGTGCTGTGCCTCGGTTTCATGAGTTCACCATGAGTGATGTGGCTGCCCCATCCCTGGAAGAGTCAGATGGGGCTTGGAGCAACCTGGGATAGTGGAAGGTGTCCCTGTTTGCTCGTGGCAGGGGGTGGAACGAGATGGTCTTTAAGATCCCTTCCAACCCAAACCATTCCATGAGTCTCTGACTATGAAACCATGTCATGCAAAGCACAGCCTGGCGGAGGAGAGGCCTGACCCCAAAACACACCCCGTGCCAGCATGCTGCCCATCTGAGAGACAACAGCCAGCCTGGGGCACACACTCCTGAGGGACACATGGGACACCATGGACAGGTGTGGGTTCAGCATCCCCACCACCAGCTGGATGCAGGAAGGGGTATGGCTGTGAAGGTCCTCCCAGTGCCAGAGCAGGGCAGAGAGGTTTTGGAGAAGTCAAGAGTAGGGTTTGAAGTGTCCAAGGCCAGGTTGGATGGGGCTCTGGGCAGCCTGGGCTAGTGGATGGCGTCCCTGCCTTGGCGGGGGGGTGGAACTGGATGAGCTTTGAGGTCCCTTCCAACCCAAACCATTCCATGATTCTACAAAGTCCTACCAGAGCAGCAGCCCTCGGCCAGGCCCCCAGACCTCCACCATCCCGCTCCCTCCAGCACGAGGAGGCTGAAAGGGGCTCATTACAGAAGCAGCCGAGACCTCGCTGTGACTCTGCCGTGCAGGGAGATGAACTGCTGTGGCCCTGCCACGCTTCTCCCCGGCCTGAGGCCAGAGGGACACGGCATCTACAGGGCTTGAAACAGCCACCAGTGCCCACTATGCCAAAACCAACTGCCCAGCGCTCTGGGTGCTCCCTTGGCACCCTGGGGAGGGGACACCGAGGGGGGGCAGGGGACAGCCAGGAGTGATATGGAGCTGTCGAGAAAGTGTTTAACCCCCGACATGCTGGTGTCTGATGAAACCACTGCACAAAGGGGGCCTCTGCTTCTCGCTCTGGGCTATTGTCAGCCCTCACACCACCATCCCCAGCTGAAGACTGAGCACCTCCTGCACCAGAAGAGGTTCCAGGGCACCCCGCTCTGCCCTGGGCACCCCGCTCAGGCCAGCCCAGAGTGCAGGCAGGTCAGGCAGGACTCTTCGCTCAGCCCAGCTGGGGGGTTCAAATCCCAGTGCCATTGTGAGGGCAAGGGAGGCTTCCATGGGGGAACCAGCCCACAGCAGTGCAGTCCTGGCAGCAGAGCCACCTGCCCACAGCCCAGGCAGAGCCCTGGCACGTGCTCCAACCTGGAGATGGGCCAGGAAAGGAGAGAGCATCCCATCACAGGGTGCACACAGGTGAGCCCATCTGAGCAAGCAGCCCCTCTACATGCCCCTGGATTTGCAGCTGGACCCTGAGCCTGCCCTCCCCTTGCACATCATGCACCATGAAGCCCCCACTGACACATGTGGCTGCCTGGGAATCACTTTGCTCCTCATCCCAGCCCTCCCAAGCCCCAGTCCAGAGCCTTCACACACCTCCCCGACACATCTCCAAGACCCCATGAGTGCATGTCCCCTGCTGTCCCCACCAGGTGTGAGTCTTGGGGAGACCCTTCTCCGCTAGCATGTGCCTAGGGCTGTGCAGGTCTTGCCCCGGGTGGAGGTTTGAAAGGCACCACACAACCACCACCTCCTGCCACCTCCACAGCCCCGACACCCTTCCCTGGCCAATCTCCACACCAGGGGGACACTGGTTGCCCTCTGCCCACCCATCACGAGTGGGTGCCCAGCCTCCACATAACACCAGCCCCCACAGCCTGGATACAGGTGCCACAGATTCCAGCCTTCCTGCCCCAAAAGTGCCCCATTTTCACCCAAGAAGAACCCCCTGAGGTGGGCCGGGTCCGGAGCCAGGACTCGCGTGCCAGGGCCGCAGGCTGGTGTAAGAGCCCCCGGAGCCTCGTCACACACTAATCACACTGGAGGTGACAGGGCTTAGGGGAGGACTTAAGAGAAACCAACTCCTTTTTACTGACACCATCTGGACACAGCCGATCTCTTCCCCCTTCCCAGCGCAGCACCAGCCGGAGGGGCAGGCGCCAGGGTGACCCCCAGACCCAGCACTCCCCGTGCTCTCGCCAGTGCCAGGGATCCCCAGCTCCCACCAAGCAAGACGGGAATACTGTTCCTGCCAGGGAATCCTAACGAGCCCACAGTGCCAGCCGGGATCGGAGCCGGGGAATGCCAGCTTGGAGCTGAGGGGACCGTGTGCTGCCTGCACGGCCCCCCCCGGCAGGGGGACGCAGCCCCGGGGAAGGCGGGGGCTGAGACGAGAGGACGCACTGGGTACAAGCGAGCCCGGAGACACCTGTTCGGGGACAGCCCTCCCTCCGGCTGTGCTCCCGGGCACGCCACCGGCACGCGGGGACCTGGCCCGGCAGGGACAGGAGAGCCCTGACGTGGGGTTGTCATTCACCGCACCCCGGTGCTTGGACACCTGGGAGAGCCGGCCACGACCCCACTCCCCGTCGCCATCCCCAACCCCCGGGAGGACGGTGGCCACGACCCCGCTGCCCGTCGCCATCCCCGACTCCCGAGAGGACGGTGGCACCGCTCCGGCGCTCAGCTCGAGCCTGGCGGGTGACACGGGGACAAGCTCACCCCGGTTCTAACACGCAACAGCACGAGGCACCGGATCTCCCCAAAACTTGTCCGAGCCCTTATCTCCCCAACCGTGGGGACAGCGGGGATCCCCCAGACCGCCCAACAAGAGCCAAGCTCCGGCTGCCCCAGGAGAAGCCTCCAAGCTCTGGCACACCTTCGGGAGAGGGGCAAAGTTGCGCTGGTGTTGGGGTCAGGGGGTGAGGTACCTTCCAGCCGGCGGAGCTGTTGCTGTCTCCTTTATCCTTAAAGTAGGGAACGTATCGCACCATCCAGTCGTAGATTTGCGAGAGGGTGAGGCGCTTCTCCGGCGAGCTCTCGATGGCTTTGGTGATGAGGTCGGCGTAGGAAAGGTTGCCCCAGGCGTTGCGCCGGGAGGTCTTGGCCTTGCGGAGCTGCCCCACATCCGCGCCGGGGGGCGGCGGGGGCGCGGCGGCGACTCTGCGCTCCACCGGGGCCGCCGCGTTCTCGGCTCCGTCCCTGCCGGCCGCCAGCGCCGGGGGTCTCCCCGCGCCCCCATCCTCCTCCTCCGCCGCCAAGTCGGGGTGGGGGAGAGGCCAAGTGCAAGAGCGGGGCCGGCTCTGCGGCTCGAAATCCGGGTCGATCTCCACCTGATGCGCCTGGAGCTTTTCTTCCATGGTCCCCTCCCGGCCGTCCCCCTACAGCCCCCCCCCCGGAGTTACGGGTGGTTTCCACCCAAAAAAAAAAATAAACACACAACAAAAAACCCAAAATCTCGAGAAGGAGAGGAGTGCGAAGGCGGGCTCCTTGCCCGGCTGGAGGGGAGAGGGGAAGGAGGAGCCGCTCGGGTCCTGGCGGGGGGAGCCCCGAGTCCGGCGGCTCTAGGAGGCGGCTCTGCCGGGAGCGCCGAGCCGGGGCACGCGCTGCATGGTCCTCGGCCGCCTCTCCAGCCCCGGCCGAAGCGGGGGTGTGTTTTTTTGGTTCGGATTTGGTTTTGGTTCGGTTTTTACCAGCCGCGGAGCTCCGGAGCGGTTCCCGGCTCGGCGGCCAGCGGGGCGGCTGCGGGCGGGCAGGGCGCGGGGGCGGCCGCATCCATCGGGCTGGCTCAGGCAGCAACAGATGAACCGGGGCGAGCGGCGGCGGGCAGCATCCTCCGCCGGGCACCGGCGCGCTCCGGGGCACCTGGGCGGGGGAGAAGCGGGACGGAGCTGGCGGGGGGAGCCCTCGGCGCGGCGGGCGCAGCCTCCCGCGGGCGGCCCGGCGCTAGGTCCGGCGTTGCGGCGGAGCCATGCTGGCGGGCGGCACGCACCTGACAGCGCCGGCGAGGGCGGCGGCGGGCGGGCTCCCGCCCCTACGCCCCCCCGCTCCGCTTCAGCGGCCGCGCACCTGCCCGC